ACACTTGCATTACAAGCATTTTTGTGTTCTCCTAATCTTTGTTGAAGATATAAATACCAAGATGGTCTGGCCTCTGGTTTTGTTGGGGTCTCCTTTCGATGCATAGAAGTAGGGGGACCACGTTGTCACAACTCGGTCTTGTTGTTATAGGGATTTACACACATACAAGCTTAAATCTACTTCTCTCAAGCATGCTTGCTAACGGACTTACGCTGTCTCAGTCATGGCTTTTTGTTGGGTCATTAAGCCTTGATGACCAGATCCTGGCATTAGCCTTTTTGATCACTCGTATCGAGACAACCAGTAAATCAGTAATATGAGACGTATTCACCCTATTTGGCTTAAGGAGAGGAAGGACTGGTAGTAGAATTTTCCCACATTTATATGAGTAGAACTGACGTTTCCATTGAATTTCACACAGACTTGTTTTCCCAATAGTTGTTCTCATCCAGAGTGGACTGCAGTTTTAACCTAACATAGGTCTTATCATCACCCCTAACTCTACTAACATACGAAAAATAAGTAGCGTAGTCGAATTTTATAGCAAAAATAAGTTTGTATGAAGACCAAGATGGTGTGGTTTTTTGTGTGGTTGCTGTCTCCTTTCGTTGTATAGAAGTTGTTTGACTTTGTTTTCGCAACTTGGTCATATTTGCAGGAAGACTTAGAGGAACGCACCTAGTCCGGAGTCCATTGTGTGAATCAAGATTTCCAGAGGAGGACCGTTTACGTGGTACATTCCCAGACGTTTCGCCGGAATCGTAGTCGGCATCGTCAGTGAGTCTGGCCGTTCGTAGCACCATATTACAGCTCGTCAAATAGACACAAATACGTTCGCTTCATCGACAATCCAACCAAAGAATGGGATATGAGAAAAAACCTGGCCTTCCTCGTAATTCACATCTGCCCTGTGACCTGACAGCACTAATGACATTGTGGCCGAGTGGTTAACGTGTCAAGCTCGCATGCTGCACCGTCGCGGTTCGACTCTTGTAGGGGGTGTTGATAAGACCAATGAGAGGTCGAAACTGCAGTCATCCACAGCCGGAATGAGAATAACTGTTTGGGAAAGCAAGGCTATGTTAAATTAAATGGAAGCTTCAGCTCTACTGATATCATTGTGGGAAAATTCTACTACCAGTCCTTCATCACCTTGAACGAAATATGGTGAATTCACGTCACTCTGATTTAATACCGGCATTGCGTATAGGCGTTAACACACACACACACACACACACGAGAAAAAGTAACAGGAGCAATAATAAAGATGATTGACCAAACAATTATATATCTATCTATTCCTATTAATTTTATTTTGCCTAATTCAATCTGTGAGATAGAGCCAGTTAGTCTTCTTGGCCTAGTGTTAAGGTGAGACTTTTACAAGAATGAGTTCCAGCTCTGATGCCGTCCATCATATGATGGACGAAATCTCCGCCCGTTTTCACCCGAATCGAAGGAGGATGTCTCGGGGACTGTGTCAACCTCAACTTAATGTTAAAATCAAACGACTTCAGTGCAACCATAATCAGCCGTCCTCTTCTGCTAAGATCCACCTTGGAATATTTTCTTTATGCACTTTCATACGAAATGAACGTCTCCGTAACAAAGCTATCTCGGCAGATTCATCGAGACCAAGTTACTCTTCGTATCCACAAAGATATGATCAGGTCACGTTAAAGAAACTTGCTACCGGATGGATTGGCTTTGAGCCCATCGGTGCGGTAGATGTGCCATAATGCTTGCAATTGATGGCCTCAGCTGTGGCTAAGCATTGAGTACAACCAATTTAGAGATAGATGAGTAATTGCAGACCAACAAAAATAATTTGACTCAGTTAGTTTACTCTTGTTAGGGGGAACTTCATTTCGAATGAAAGTACATGATGAAGAGATTCGTTTGTCGTTTTCACCAGA